AGGACTCGGTTCTCGTTGTAGTAATCGGTCGCCTTTTCCAACTCGGTCACTAGGGATGGCAAACGGGTACAGTTTCGTGGATTTCGCACCGCACCCGCTCCAATTGGGGCGGGGATGGGTATAATTTTAGCGGGTAGTGGGCGAGTGTGGATTTAGAAAGTGATACCCGTCGCGGGTAGTGGACGGGTAATGGGTTTGAGTCATTACCCGCCCCGCATCCGTCCGCCCCGCATCCGCCCATCTAGCTAAATATCCATTAAATTTTGGACCATTATGAATTTAGGTATAATTTTAGAGACTAATTTATAAATTGTAATATTGTATAAGATATAACATGTAATTTAACCAAATATTGTTATTGGGAATATTGTTTGTGCCACAAGAAGTATTTGATATTATTGAGTTGATTGTACCTGTCAAAACTTATTCTGGAATTGTGAATTGTGAATTAGCAAGATATCATATGTTTGGTGTAGATAAACTTATTCTAGAATTTTATCTGTCAAACCTCTTCGTTGAGTATGAATCATTATATACACTCAAAGCTGAAAAGATTTCCAGAGGGTCTCAAGCATAGCACGAATGTATTTTATTGACCGCACCTGTGAACGTGATGAAGATATTAATAATTTCATCAAATTTATGACTCTGGTTGAAATGACTGTAAATATAAATTCATCTTTACATATCATTGCTTTTCATAAATGTCAAAACCCGAAACCTCTTCCGTAAAAAAAAGTTTGTTTTCCGGCGGATCTAGACGGGTACGTCGCTAGTGGGTAGTGGATGTGGGGATGGATTTGAGAATGTACCCGCGTGGGCGGGTGTGGATTTAAAAATTTTTACCCATCATGGGTGGTGGACGGGTGGTGGATTGAAAAATATTAGGTGGGTATGGGGATGGGGGAGGGGGTATCCGCACCCGACCCGCCCGTTTGCCATCCCTATCGGTCACTGCAGTTGTCACAGATGTGATTTTTTTAAATTTCGCACAATTTATCTTAAAATATAATAATTATAATTATAATTATAAAGATTCATTTTTAATGATTTTTAGAATGTTTTCTAATATATATATATATATATATATAATATAATATAACCAAAGAAATAATACTATCAACATATGAAAAATTTAAAGATATTAAAATAGATAAAGATAAAATTTGTTTTAACTATTAGACAAGAGATTCTTTATAGATTTAATCAAAGAGTTATCATTCACCGAAAAACTAAAGAATCTCAAATGTAACAATTAAAGGGGAAAACATATTTTAAACTAATTAAATAAAAACTAAAGTATATATTTTAAAATAAGGATTAAATTAAATATATAATTTAAAATTATATTTTAAACATTATTTAAAAAAAATCCTCAATTTTGAACTCAAAATATTCTTAGACTTAGTTCAATTGAAACCCGAACTCGAACATGAATCTCAAATACATGAAAGACTTATATTTAAAATAAAAGGATTTAAACAGTGTTTGTGGTCACGTCGTGTTTATCGCGGTTGCAGACATAACGGATGTCATCGCATCACTGCAGGTATCGTGAACATGAATTTTTTAAATTTCACACAATTTATCCTAAAATATAATAATTATAATTATAATCATAATAATGTTTTCTAAGTGAAAAATACATATTATATATAATATAACCAAATAAAAGATTTTAAAAATCCAATGATAGGATAAGATAATTAATTAATGATGACATTTGAATACATTGTTATTTAAAAAAAATAAGACTATCAACATAGAGAAAACTTAAAGAAATTAAAATGGATAAAGATAAAATTTGCTATAACTATGAGACAAGAGATTCTTTAACAATTTAATCAAAGAGTTATCATTCACTGAAAAATTCAAGAATAATATATATATATATATATATATATATATAACGATGTATATCTCAAATGTAAGCAATAAAAACAACACATATCTCATGCAATAATTAAAGAAAAAACAAATTTTAAACTAAATTAAGACTAAATTAATAAAAGCTAAAGTTTATATTTTAAACTAAGGATTAAATTAAAATAAAAGGATTAAATTAAATATATACTTTAAAATTATATTTTAAACTTTATTTTAAAAAAATCCTCAAGTTGGAGTGGAACACAGCCCACCTCACAAAACTTAAAGTTTTAAGAGTTGAGAGAATTGACTCGGATTTAAAAATCAATCAACTATAAATTTTGAGTTATTAGAATTAATATTTTATAACTTAAATTTTATTTAAAAATATTTTGAGTCGAATTTATAAAATTACGAGTTGATAAATTTCTTTCAACCTTGAATTTGCTCCAATCTCCTCCACCTTAAAATCAATCACCGGGATTCAAATAACGAGACGAAAACGTAATAACGACGGTTATTTCGTGGTAGCGTCACTATTCGAAATTAAAATTAGTAAAATTAACGGTAATATCGGATTCACGACAATAGTGATCTGTCGCGCCTACAATTTAGTGGACAACGATAAATAACACCGATAACGGGACGCTATTACCATTACCAACCGTTATTGTGAACAAAAATTGTGATCCGTAAAAAGAAAGGAATATATTCCTCTACAAAAGTAAAAAAAAAAAAACTAGCAAAAACTAATTTAAAAAAAAAGGTAAAAATTCGAAGAGATATGTCCAATTCCATTACTGCAATACAAAAGAGAGAGTGAGAGATCACTCCAAAGTTCAAAGTTTGAACTTTAAAACAAAAAAAAGAGCATATCAAGGGTTCAAGAGTCAAGACTCACTCACCAAAAATTAAATCGGGAAGAGGAGAAACGGGTAAATTAAAGTTGTTTTGGGAGGAATTTTACATGCGTCCGTCGGGCTTTGCCGCCAATGAAGAACTTGAGCAGTAACAACTAACGACCAACGGACTTCCATTTAAGAAGGTAAAAAAAATTTATCCTTAAATCTAATTTTGTAGAAGATGAAACTTGAAAGCTTGTATTTATTTATCTATTTTTTAATATTTTTATATTCGGTTTGTGTACGTTTAAATTTTTAATATCGTGTTTGTGTTCTATAATTTATTTTTGAAGGTATTCGTGCTCTTTTGTTTATTGATCGTGAACTTATTTGTTTAGTGTTTGTTAGTATGCTCATTTAGCGTTCGTGAATATGTTCGTTTAGTGTTTACTAATATGTTCGTTTAGTATTCACAAACATGTTATTTTATATATTCACAAACAACGAAATAACACAACTAGTCCTTTAGCTCTTTAGGCTTTATTGTTTGAACTCCGTTATTCACCATATGTTCAATTTAGTCCTTATCTTAATCAATATTAAAAATATTAAAAAAAAAATAAAAAATGGATAAATAAACTTATAAATAAGTCAATAAACAAGTTTGTTCGTGAATATCTATAGCCAACGGATGAGATATACAAACATCTATCACAAGAGAAATCACAAGAGGCCCTCTCTAGTTGAAGTTGATGCTCCACACCACCACTAACGCTCTAGTACAAGTTATGAATTTAATCTACACACTCTAATTTAATTAATTTTAAGGATAAATTATTTGTTTAGTATTTAAACTATCAATTTTGATATGTTTTAATACTTAAACTTTCAAATTTTTTAAAAGCATACGTAAAGTTTAGTTTTTATTTCATTTTGGTATCCTACCGTTAAAAACTTAACGTGTTTAGTACTCAAACCATCAGTTTTGGTCCATTTTCATACCTAAACTTTCAATTTGTTTCAAAACTTAAAGTTTAGCTTTTGCTTCAATTTAAGTATGATTTTAAAAAAATTGAAAGCTAAGATGCTAAAACGAATCAAAACTAACAATTTAAATACTAAATATTTAGTTTATCCTAATTTTAATATGTACTTTTTTTAATCATGGGCTTGAGGGTCATTTTTGTCCCTGTAGTATACCAAATTTATCATTTTCGTTCATATCAAATTTTCGCATCAATTTAACCCTCAAAGATGTTTAATTGCATCATTCAATACCTTATCCCTAACTTAAAATCTTAAATTATAAACTCTAAGTTGAATTTAGGGTTTAGAGTGCATGGTTTAGATTTTATGGGTTATGATTTAAGGTTTAGTGTTTATAATTTAAGGTTTTAAGTTAGAGATAGGGTATAGAATGATATAATCGAGCAACTTCGATGCCTAAATTGATGCGAAAATACGATAGGAGCGAAAGTGATAAATTAGGTCTACTATAAGAGTAAAAGTACCCTTATGGCTTAATCTTGGATCTAATAATACAGTCATGATATTACTAAATTATACAGAATCAAATTGAAGATAATAGATATTGATTTTACATTAGAGAAAAGGAGCAATACTGAATAGTAAACAAGCAAAATAAGTTACAAATGTAATATACTTGGAATGAATCAGAATTTAATTTTAGGGTTCATAGGGCTTGCGAATTGGGGGAACATTATCGGTGATAAGAACGCGTACTTATACCCACTACTATAATCCATGACATATTCAACATTTTTCACTAAAATTCACTTAACTTTTTATTTGGTCCCTCCACTATATCCTAATCCAAAGATTTAGTCCCCATAATTTTACATAGTTTAATTTATTTAATTTCATAATATGATTAATAGGTCTAAATAATTATATTATAAAAAGGAGAAAATTATGTTAAATTTAAGTTCAAAGATTAAATCGAAAATTTTAATATGGGAGAGGTGCCAAAACCATGATCACCTTTTTGCTAAAAATTCAAAGGTACATAGAGGGACTAAAATGAACTTCTCGGTATCATAGAGGGACTCCTAGAATACTTATACCCAAAAAATAGTTGCTTTCAACGAAGTAAACTTCATTTAATCGCATGCCATTACTCTCTACACACTAGCTTAGAATGAAATATTGCCATCCTGATCCTCCCCATTAGCATGCATTCCATCTTTGCTCCGATGCAGTTCCGAGTTTATTCGCTCGTCAAATATACCGAACCTTTCCCCTCGTTGAGAGCTACATTTCGAGTCAACAGGCAAATTTTCTTCAGGGCTCGAATGGAGTTGGGAGGAAGTTTTATGAGTTTATTGAGAAGAATTATACCTACCTCCAAAGCATGTTGACTTAAGAGACCTTTTGCTTTCATCAATATTGTGCCGGAACATTCCCGTTCAAGCGATAGATGACTTGCAAACCGGGCATGACGTTTTCCTCATCAGCCATGGATCGATACACTGCCACATCGATTGAACAAAGCATCGATAAGCAACTTGAAAGCAATCTGAGAAAACGGAAAGCAAAGTGGCATTGTGGAGATAAAGAAAGGCATTACGTCCTTATGAAATTTATGCAGACAAGGAAGATGGCGAATAGTTTCTCCAATGGCAGGGGTTTCAAGACATACAGCGCAAGATTCGTAATTATCAGTCTGTTAATTAAAAAATAGTAGCGATTAGACCTGATAACGAAACATAAGCATCTGATGAGGAAATAAAGCTAAAAGAACGACTATTTAAATGGTGTTTTCTCACGCATTTACCTGTACTTTGGACAGTGGCAAACAGTTAATCTGGTTAACCGATGCACCGCCATGCTGATGATTGTTATCATCAAGGGTCAACAGCATTTCGTAATCGTTTCTGCAAGATAAAGTGAATGGAAGATTAATCAACACTGAAGTGTGATTTAAAATTGAATGGATGTCTACCAAAATTTAAAATTGTTCACATTGTATTATCATTGCCACTGCCAGAGCTGGTCTTTACCAAAGCAGGGGCCATATCGAGGCTGCATTTGCCTTACGCAGACCAAGCAATTACCATTTCAATCAACAATGGAACCATTGCAAACTCTAAATAAATTGTCAATCAAATGCATGGTATGATCATTCAACAGGGTCAAAACATGTCCATAATAGAAAAAAGAAATCTTACTCATTAAAATCACGTTGAACTTGGAAGATACGACTAGCCATACCCATGTCATCAGCATCTCCCAGTGCAGCCTCCATGGCTTCCAAAATGTCGAGTCTCTGTATCAGAAAGCCATGAATCAGTTATTGTTGAAACTTGAAAATAAAGCAATACATGATACACCAAAACTGTGTGTGTGTGTGTTTTTTTTGGGGGGGGGGGGGTATTTTACCATATCCAAGTCCATGTCTAAAGGGAATTGAAAATTCCTTGTCCTGGATGGTGCTGCTCGAGTTTGATTCAAAATTCGATTCCTCAACCTTGAAACTCTAGCAGAAGTGGGGAAATGAGTCTGCACTCCTCTCCTATTTGAAGAATTCTGAAAATTCCGAGATGGAGGCTGAATACGAGATTGCCTTGTTGAGCCTTGCTGCATAAGAGGCAAAGAATAATATTTAAGTACATAAAACAAAAATGACCGTAAGCAGGACATCTATTTTATACAACAAAAAAGGAAAACCTAGGTTGAATACTAGCATATATCATTATCATGATACTAGATAGGATAAATACAGATATAGGTCCTGCAAAAAAATGTCCTTCCACTCAACACAAACAGCATCAATGATATCCCATCTTTGCAGCTGCAGAGATTAGCTTCAATCAAAAAGAATAATAGAGCGATGGTCATTTTGGCCCTGCCGAAAGAGAAGAGAGTATTCATAAAGTTGGTTAGCTGTTAAGCATCTAAATACTGGTTCAGCAATGGATTCCTAACATAGTATCTATCATATCGATTGAAATAAAACCTACTTAAAATTATCTACGGATTCCATAAAATACAACTCACAAGAAAGGGATATTGGAGAAAAGGAGAGGAGGGCAGGAGAGTCAACTGATAATAAAAAGGAAACTGATAGAGAGGAACAAGAACAAGAGAATCCAATTAGCAATGATTAAGGAAATATTAACTTCCAATATTATACATGAAACCAAGGGGAAAATAACCACTTAGGAAGCAACACATTAAATCTTGTGTTGCTACGAGAGAGAGAGGGAGAGAGAGAGTCAACTGATAAAAAAAATGGAAACTGATGAGGAGGAACGAGAACAAAAGCATCCATTAGCAATAATCAAGGAAACATTACTAAACCAAGTCTATTCTACTTTTGACAGCAAGGCTCATGCCCACTGTATGGCATGTTTCAATTAGTACACAAACCTAGCAGATATATTACACCTTCGACCAGAATGGATTTCACGCATGCACCAAGTGTAGGTTAATGCAAAAAATAAAAGAAACAAAGCCAAGCTTACTAACATGATCTGGCTCATGGAGAGCCCGAAAAGGTGTAGGAAGGAATGCATCTTCCTCCTGCTGAAGTGCCCATGCAATGTTTTCATCAACCTGTTAAAAGGTTCATAAACATTTAAAGCTAAGCATGTAAATAAAAAAGTCAAAGATAAAAAGGGAGAAAGCATCAAATTGTCATCATAAAAGATCAGGACCTCATGATATAATTGTTCTTGGAGTTCACGGGCCAACATTTCATCCGCTTCAATTTGTCTTGCATTAGCTTCTGTGTCCTCATCATTCATAGAATCCATATGATTGGCATGTATCCCTCTCATTCGAGATGAGTTGTCAAGATCCATAACATCCGGATGTTCCGCAATATGAATTCTAGATGACCTTGAAGTAGATGATTCCAAAGATGAACAAAGAAACACAATGTCCGGGTCATTAGGAGTGGCCCTTGAGCTTTCACCATTATTTCTTGAAGATAATACATGTTTGATTTGCCTTTTAGGCAGCATGTTTGCATTAGAAGGTTCACTTGGTTGGTTTATTTTTGCGATCACAGGAGCTGTCTCAGTTGCATGAGTTTCAGGAGAATCACATAGAATCCTGATCTTTCCTTCACTAGCATGATTTCTTTTCACAAATCCATTTTCATTTTGTTGACTCACTTGACATCCAACACTATTAAACCCACTTAACTGATGTTCAGCTGCATGATCTACATTCTTTGAACGGTTGCGAGTGCTTCTCCATCCACCTTTTTCTTCAAAGCATGCATCTCTATTCGCATCACCAATACCATCAGCTTCTCCATTATTACTCATAGGACTGCAACAGGAGAACCACACAACCAAGATTCTCCAGATATCAATATAATATGTTCTGAAATAAAAATTAAAAAAAAAAACTAGTTGTTTTTTATCACATGCTATTCCAAAGGTTCTGACAGAACGTGCTTGTCTCTTTAGCAAAAGTTTTAGCACAAAAATGTAACCAATACACAATAGGAAGAAAACATCCAATAGACAATAGGCTAAGAAATCTAGCTAGAGAACAACACTTAAAATTTACCTGCCAGATAAATTAATAAAATTGATATCATGCTCCTTAGATGCATGAGGATGGGAAACTCTTTTTCCTTTACCATTATTATCATTATCTTCAGCAACTATCTCGCTAATCAAACAAGGACTGCTGCAATCCACATTCACAAAATTTTGTTCGGGTGTAAAGTTGCTTTGGGATTGCTCATTTTGTTTAGCCCTGATGGCTATGTTATGGGGGGAGATACAGCCATTTCGGACCAATCTTCTTTTCCCAACAGTTCTTGGTGAGGCAATTGATTGATGAGATGCAGGCAATTGTTTTTCCATTCTAAGAGGGGAACCATTAGAAAGACTTACCCCTTTTCCATTACTCATAACTGAATCTATACTTTTAAGTCCAATATCATCTACCTTTTCCTTTCCCTTGCAGCTATTTCCGGATGTTTCAGAAAATCTTGAAGAGTTAAATGCATAAAAGCCACCATTTCTCGGTGCCTGACCTTTTCTTCCTTCAGCTAAGAAGTTTTCAGATCCACTTTGGAGAGATTCCATTTCATTTACATGGTTGTGTGTTTTCTGTTCAGTTAAATCTAGGATGGCATGATCTTCAGGGAATCCAGATGATTTAGAAGGTAACTTAGAGCAAGGAGCTTTTCCTTTATCCTTGTCTTGCTCTCCAAGAGAATTTCTGCTTCTCTCTATTCTTGTTTTCCTAAATAAAGGAGCATGTTCTCGAGCATTCTCTACTGGAGATAAGACTATCGTGTTTTTCAGACGCTCAATTTCATAAGTATTGTCAGACAGTTTTCGCGGGTGCATATAATTTTTTCTATTGAGCCCATTTGCAGAAAGCAGTCTACCTCTGCCCCTTAGCCTATCCAAAGATCCTTCACCTGTAGTATCAGAACCTCCCACTTTGTCCACAAAGTTCCCTCCATGCACTTGCTTTAAAGATGGCCTATCAGGAGTGTCGGGTATGTCCACTACTGAATCGATGTCCATGTCCTCCATTTTCTGTATTACACAAAACATAAAAGTCAGTCCTTCACATGAAACTTCAATCAGAAATACATGAATTTGCATCTGGTCCAAAGGCAGATTAACAACATTACACTCCAAACTAAATGCCACCCCTAGAAAGGTCACCTTTTCATGATGATAATAAAAGCGCAACTTAGCCCACCTAATAAAATCAATACCTTACTCGCCTATATTACTCTTTCAGACTTTCTTAAAATGTTAATTATTCCATAAGCAACATAAAAAGCAATAGAGAAAGTTAGACATCAAAATCTCTCCTGCAGATGACTAATACAGCATCAGTATACAACAAGCGAAAGTAAAATTTTGCAAATATATTTTACTTACAGAAGCAGAACTTTCATGCATTTTTTATAACTTCGAATTACATAAACTGGTTCCTATTTAACGTATAAACTTTGAACACACTAAACATCCACATATCAAGCAAAGATGGAATCAAAGAACCATAGCCTTATACAATAAATACAAAATAGTGAAAAGAATCAATTTTTTTTTTAAAAAAAAAACTTGCTAGGAAATATCAAAATACATAAATTGACAACTAGAAAATTATTGTTACTATGAAGCATAGAAAAAAGCCTTTCTCAGTTATTACACCCAGGCAATAATTATTCAAATAGTAGCTTGATTATAATAAAATAAACCCTAAAAAAGAAAAATATCCAGAAATTTCTAATTCTAATAATATTAAATATTAATTCCTTTGAATTCCTGATATAAATTATACAAAATTGAATCTAAATCGATGTAGATAAACAATCATACCGATTTTTTTTTAAACTTTCTCCAGCATCGAGGGTTAATATTTTCAAGATTCACACATTAAAAAAAAAATTAACATAGCGTCACAAAAGGAAAAAACAAAAACAAAATCAAGGAATTTTGACATTGAGAAATTCAAAAAAATATTAATAATAGTCAGAAAAATCGTTACCAGATTTTGTTCGTGATGATCGAAAACGGAAAAATCGAAGAAAATTACAGAAGAAATTGTATCCTTCAATTCTCTAAGAATGCAATGCCATCAACGCTTCTCAAGAGCCTCAAGCCTCGCCTCTACAAATTTCGGTTTTGTCTCTCCAATCTTCAATTTGGATAACCCGGTCCGGGTCGAAACTGGATCTGGATACTGGAGCCCTATAAAATTTTGGCTAGGCTTGTTTTTGAAAAATAACGGGTCTTGTTTATTTATTAGGGCTGAGTAGCAGAGCGGTGGGTATTTATTACTCGATATCGAACTAAAATTAAAATTTTCAAAAATTTTCAAAAATTTTGAAGGGTTAAGTTTGTATTTTCTCCCCAAAAATATTAGGGTCTAACTAAAATTTTTGAGAGGCTGAATAAGAATTTTTTTTAAATTATGGGAGGGGATTTAATTGAGAACATTAAAAAACTTTAAAGTTTAACCTGAATTTTTAAAAGTTTTGGATATCAAATTAATTTTTTTTTTAAATTTAAAAACTAAACTCTAATTTTTTTAAATTTTGGGGGCATTGCCACCACTAGCCCTGGTTATGATCCGCCACTAAGAGGATGTATGGTATCATGTTTCAACGACAAGCAAAAAATAGATTAAAATGTGTTTGGGATAGTATCTCTAAAAATTTTAAATAATTTAAATATTTATTTTTTATTTCTATTTATTAAACATCATAATTCTATTATCATAAATTATTAATATATTTTTTTAAAATTTTTCTTCCCTATATAAAATTAGGTAAATTACATCAATCATCACTAAATTTTATTCTCTCTCTTATTTTACATATTGTACTTTAAATCTATTCAATTTCTTTACTGAACTTATTTATTTATTTGTCACTCCGTTATTTTCTCACTAACGGTGTTATAAATTAGTTGTTATATAGATGCAAAACGACTTCGTTTTGGTGAAAAATTCATTTTTCTAAAACGACGTCTTTTTAACGTTGTTAACTAGTTAACGGCGGAATGACAACAAAATCAAATGTATTAAGTTCAGTGAAAAAATTAAATAGATTTAAATTATAATTAGTAAAATAAGAGAAAGAATAAAATTTGGTGATAATTAGTGTAATTTACCAATAAAAGTATCTACTCATCCTTATGACAATAACGTAAGAATAAGAAGAAAAAAATCATTTTGATCGATGATAAGATAATATAATATTACGTTATTATATGTATGAACCAACTTACCTCAATGATTAAATAAATCGTTATTATTCTTAGAAGTTACGAGTTCAAACACCAACAGCTGTAATAAAATAATTGTTCATTTATTATCTAATGATTAAGAGTATTTAAATATATACTACTTTATAGTTTCATATTTCTCATTAACAACTAATTGTTGTCGGTCCATTATTGGATACCACATCAACAAAAAGAAAGCAATCTTGATAAAAAGGGTAAACTACACATTTAATACTTTAACTATCAATTTTGATCTGTTTTAATACCTAAATTTTCACTTTTTTCAAAATTATACCTAACATTTAATTTTTATTTCATTTTAGTATCCCACATTATAAACTTAAAACGTTTAACACCTAAATTATCAGTTTTGATCAATTTTAATACCTAAGCTTTCAATTTTTTCAAAACATAAGTAAATTTTAAACAGGGTACTAAAATAATCAAAAACTAAAATTTTTAAAGTCAAAATACTAAAATGAAACAAAAACTAAACTTTGAATATGATTTTGAAAAAGTTAAAAGTTTATATACTAAATCGGATCAAAACTAACAGTTTTGGTACTAAATGCATAATTTACCCTAAAAATAATAACATAATTGAGCGTTGATAATAATGAAATAACCCACAATATATATCTACGCGCGCACTATTATTAAACCCCTGGTCTGGTCCGAAAGCCATTGCAAGCCCCGAATGAGAAAGAAGACTACAAAAAGGAAATGAAAGATCTGAATGGTCTGTTTCACTCGGTTTTTACTCCGTTCGCTGGCCATTACCGCCTTTATTCATCCGTTACACACCCCTTTGAAGCCGGTTGCACGCTCTTGATGTACTGAAAATGGAAAGATGTTCATTAAGGAACCTACAGTCAATAATGTAGGCACTGTATGCATGGCTCCAATGCAAGATTATCGCTTCCCACCTTATGCAAAACTCCCCTGTCAGCCTTGTAAGGAGGCGGATTCCACTTCTTTCTCCGCTCGTTCAGTTCGGCATCTGTCAGCTCGACGTTTATGGCCCTCTTCTGAACGTCGATGCTGATGAGGTCCTCGTTTTGAACAAGACTGATGGGGCCACCCTCCTGTAAAACCAAATCCGATATCAAGCATAAATGAAGACAAATAACCAGATTATAATCAGGGGGCATACAGGTCAATGGAATTGCAAAATTATCTAGCAATTCGTGTGAGAAACTACTGCACCTGTGCTTCAGGGCATATGTGGCCTACAACGAATCCGTGTGAACCTCCAGAGAACCTACCATCAGTGAGCAAAGCAACATCCTGCAATATTCACTTACAGCATTCAAATCAAATACGATATTTAAAGGCACAAATTTTACACCAGCAGATAGAAAGATTGAGTTCGAGTTGAAAATAAAGGCGGTGATAGCCACATGGACTTGATATCACAGAACCTTCCCAAGACCTGCTCCCATGATTGCACTTGTTGGTGTCAACATTTCAGGCATGCCTGGTCCTCCCTTCGGCCCCTCCCCTCTAATGACTACTACTTTTCCCTGGAAATTTACGAGCGTAACCAATATTTGGAGTTTAGCCGATGCAAATAAATAAACAAAGTAAGCAGACAAAAAACAACTCTCGTATTCAACCGCTAATCAAAACCTCAGGCACATGGAACGTCCACTCCGCTACTAATCATAGAGAAACACTATGCTGCTTTGACTCGCATACCTTAAAGCTCGAAGGATTTTCAGAGATAGCTACTAGCATAGCTTCCTCTCCTTCAAAGACAAATGCAGGACCTAAAGAACAAAGTTTACAATCATTATGTATGGATGCAGCCTACATTCTTAACCATAAAATTGTAACAGTACAGTGACCAAGAAACTCAAAGTTAATATTCGAAAGGGGCACCAGAGAAATAGAGTCCTTCTTTTCCGGTAATTTTTGCTACAGAACCCTCGGGTGCAAGATTCCCTCTTAATATTTGGATGTGCCCTGTTTTCTTTATGGGATTCGACACTGGTTTTATGATTTCCTGAACATGAATTTTGGGTACTGATCAGACGAATTGCACATTCCATTCATGGCATCTCGAAGTTAATATATAAATGGAGCCTAGCCTTTTTGGTCGAAAATCACCGGTACCAACCTGTCCATCAGGTAAACGAGGGTAGCTTTGTGCATTTTCCGCCATAGTCTTCCCAGTCACTAGAGTGGAACTATCAGTGTATCAAGTATTAAAAAAATGAAAATTCAAGCTCTGAAATTGCAATAAACAATACCAGTCATGCAATCCCCGTCAAGATACCCGAACTCCAAAAGATAACGAATCACAGCAGGAGTGCCTCCAATCTATCAAAACATTTTTCCCCATTAGTTGAAATGATAGAATAGATAACATATACCAAGAAAGCTACTGATGACATGATTCATAAGCTATAGAAAAATAAAAAAAGAATCTTGAAAGAAAAGATCGACGTAGAAGATCGGCTGATGTTAATCTATACCTTGTGAACATCCTCCATGACATATTTACCACTGGGTTTCAGATCAGCCAGAAACGGAACCTCGTCACTAACCTTCTGGAAATCATCAAGAGTCAATTCTAGACCTACAGACCTGCCATGAATAATTCCAAGATTCATTTCCTCAGATTGTCAATAATTTTGAGGCCTAAGGGATATCTGCCATAAATTCTCAGTTCTCACCTTGCTATGGCAATTAAATGTAACACGGCATTGGTTGATCCGCCTAGAGCCATGACAACAACCATTGCGTTACGTAAAGATTTGAGGGTGATGATGTCTCGGGGTTTTAAATCCATTTTCAACAATTCTAGCAGATACTTTCCTGCCAAACGGCATTCATCCAATTTCAACGGGTCTTCAGCAGGTATTGAAGAGCTTATCAGGTACAAACAAACAATAGTAAGAAAAAAAAGGGAAGGCAAAATGTCAAATTCACAATCAAAATGACACCTGTAAGGAAGAGACATCCCCATAGCTTCAATTGCAGACGCCATGGTATTTGCAGTATACATTCCCCCACAGGCTCCAGCTCCAGGGCATGAGTTACGGATAACATCCTTTCTCTGCTCGTCGCTTATTTTCCCACTAACATATTCTCCATAACACTGCACGGCCAACCAAATGGGGGCAAAAGAACTTACAAGGTTACCAAAATTGAGAAAATGTACAGGTAATTTTGGATAAATTCACGTCATAGAAGTTAATCCTCCCATATTAGCATATGGTAGACATTCTAATGAATTTGCTTGATATTGGAAAAATTGAAACAGTCAGTTGGTCCTTATTTTAATCCACAACGGGGAAGAAGAAGAAGAGCGAAGAAAAAGCAAAGAAGCAAACTCTGCCCCTCAAGGGTCAGTACTACTAAAACAAGTGTAACTTTCTACACAAAAGATCATTGTATCCTCATAATTTCCCAAGTTCCTCGCGCTAATCCAAGAAATTTTCTTGTAATTCTTGCTCCCAAAGTCAAAAGAATTAACAGACAGCAAGGGTAAATTGAGGTCTAAAATCATGAAGATATGAAGAGAAATAAGTAACCAACTAGCCTAACAACATTCCTATGGCATATCATTGTGTTTACCTGGAAGGCAGATATTATATCGTATGAATTGCCTTGAAAATGGCCGGGCTGCAAAAGATAAGTATACAAATATATAAATAAACCATTGAAGTAGGACAACACCACCTAAATTTAGATTAACTCCACTTAATGTATTGAATGAAAATATGATGCATAAGAAACAATGGGAGAACCAATTCATTCAAAACAATACAATCATTCATTCAAATGAGTGTGTTCCACTTTGAAACCGATTCTTACAGACTTATATAAACAATATATGGGTGAAATGTGTATGTATTTATTAAAATCTAAAGAGCTGCCCTGATTTAACAAAGAACACTTGCAACAAAATGTAATAAGAGCAAAATTAATCAGATATAAAGAAAAAGGGAAGTTGATCTTCTACAGAAGTTATACTAGACAAAGCAGAGCAAACCTTGATGGTTCCACCATAAACCATAATACTTGGCCGATTGAGCCTCCCCATTGCAATAATTGTACCTGGCATCTACAGAACTACCCACCATTAGATTTAGATAGTTTCACAATTGAAAGAAGAAGAAAAACATCTTTCACATTATAATTTATGAATGTTGAGTTTTCTGGAAACAGAACAGAATTATCAAATAAATAAATAAATAGAAAAACTACTTGTGTTCTTCCATGGATCAACACTGAATCGTAGCTCACGGAAATCGACCCTCAAATTTTTCCAACAGTGAGGAGATAAGTTGAAGAATATAAAAATTTTCTTTCAGCTTAATTTCGAGGACATTCCAACACTGATTAAAATAGTTCAAACCAATCAAAGATTGCAGTTAGATCGGGATGGACCCAGGATTTTATGCTAGAGTGCGAAAACATATTACCAATAGAAAATACCTAAATTATATGAGAATTTAAAATTTTCAAGGGGTGACCGCCCCGCCCGCCCTGGTTAGCTTGGAGCTCCAAGCCTCCAACCCTTCCTCTAAGGCTCTCTAAACAATGACTCTAGTAAAGGATCATACAAGTTCAATCCAATCCTAACCTCCATTATTAAAATACACTACTTCAATGGATAAATTCATCACTTTGATTAGCTTTTGCCATTCATACAGCTTAATTCCTAGTATTTTCTCCTAATTCTCACAATTAAAAGCAATAAGCATAACAATAATTAAAAGGGTAAAGTTCGAATAATAAAGCTTACATTTTTATCACAACCAGGAATAGAGATATTCCCATCATACCACTGAGCACTCATCACAGTTTCAACGCTATCAGCGATCAAATCCCTCGACTGCAAGCTGTAGCACATCCCTCTCGTCCCCATCGAGATCGCATCGCTAACCCCGATCGTGTTGAATCTAAACCCAACCATCCCAATCTCTTCGACGCCCCGTTTCACCGCCTCCGACAGCTTCAACAGATGCACGTTGCACGGGTTGCCCTCGTACCACACCGACGATATCCCCACTTGGGGTTTCGACAAGTCGTCTTCCGACAATCCGACGCCGTACAGCATGGCCTGGGACCCTCCCTGTGACTTGGGCTCCGTTATTCTTGAGCTGTGTTTGTTGAGCTTTAAGGTTGGAGGAGATGAAGAGTCTGCTGTCACGGTTGCTTGGGACTGCGCGGTTATGTGAATACATCGGTGGCGGCGGTTTGTAGGGCCGGAGAGTGGCGGCTTTGTGGTGGGGACTACAGTGGTTCGTGAGGTTAAAAACGTGGCTTGCATGGCGGCGAGTGGCGGAGCGTGGTTTTAAGTTGCCTGTAGGAAAGGTGTCTGTCAGTCTGTGCTCTACTCGTACCATGCACTTGCTTATTTAAGTGTAAAATTTGCACCGAGTTTTAAGTTAAACTAGTAAATGAAATGGAAGAAAGTAAAATATATATATATATATATATATATATATATAATTAAATATTTTCTTAATTTTTAGTTGATAATAATTCAATAAATATTTGGAAAAATGATTATTTTGTCTAATTTAGAGTGGCATTTAAAATAATTTGACCCAAAAAATAAAATTTTAATTTATCTAATTTGAAAACAAAAAAATCTAAAAAATTGGAGGAAACAATGCTTAATTTATATACTTTTAAAACTAAAACACTATTGGAGGTAAATACCAGACTTTTATGTACTACCAATTGATGACATTCAAGGAGCAATAAGAACACCAAATAAGAAGATACAAAGAATGAAGGAAATGAAAGAGAACTGAAAATTATTTTTTGGAAAATTACACATTTGGAGGTAAATTCCAGGCTTTTAAAGGCGGGATATAGAAATGAAATAAAAACTAAACGTTAGATATACTTTTAAAAAAAATTAAAAGTTTAAGCACTAAAACGAATCGAAACTGATAGTTTAAGTACTAAATGAATAATTTACCCTTATTTTTACTAACAATGGCCTCATGCACCCACAGGAAGTTGGTTTCACGTTGCTTTCATTTCATTTTCTAAGGGTTAATTAAATTTGATCAAAACTATTAACAAATGCAATCACCATCCAAGCCTATCAGCCTCCACCTTTCTCCTCAAACACTCTCTTTTCCTTCATAGGATAAATGTAATCACCAACAGAGCAAATCAACCGTCGCCTTTCTCCTCCTAACACTTCCTTTTCCCTTATAAGATAAAAATAATCACCACCGGAGTCCGGATGAACGAAAACCAGGACACACACGACGACTCTAACGACATATCCACCGAGGCATTTGCAACTAAAGAAGAAGGGTAGTCGATGTACAGAAGTTTTTGCTAGACAAAGCAAAGCTGCAAACCTTGATGGTTCCACCATAATGCATAATACTTGGCCGATTGAGCCACCCCATTGCCATAATTGAAAGAAAAAAGGGAGAAAAAAAACATCTTTCACATAAATAAAGGCACGAGGTCATTGTACTTTTGAAAAAATCATTGTGGCTCTCCTATTATTTTTTTCTCTCAATTTGAGTCTCTAACTCAGAAAACAAACCTAATATGGCCTTTGACCAGCACTTTACATCGTTTAACCGTTACAGTGTTGATATGGCAGTTCATGGTGCTGAAGTGGAGGTCCACAGTACTGACATGGCGGTCCATCTGTCATGTTATCCACCACGTTATCAACTACCTGGATTGCCACATCAACATCGTGGACCACTATATCAACACCGTGAACTATCACATCAGTACCGTAACGATCAATGACGGAAAACATTGGTAAAAATACCACATTGACCTTATTTTATGAGTTGGAGGATCACATTGAAAGAAAAAATAATATGAGAGTTACATTGATAAAGAAACTATTTTAGTATTTTTTTACGAGGAGACTTTTCAATGTTATATTGAAAATGACTACCTCATTAACTAAAGATGTGATTCCTTTAACAATAAAAAAGAGCAAATATGCTAAATAAACAAGTCAACCAAAATCAAGAGAAACAATGGAAAAAGGGTAAAGTTGGAATAAAATTAGTGGCGTTTATGTTCCAAGCACCGCTATAAACGCCGCTACAAACTTGTTTTCATGTATTGCACAAAACAAAGTACTCATGCCTCAGGCGGTGTCCTAATCGTCGAATGACTCTCTCGACTTAGATTTCCACAATCTTCTTATCATAGGAGACTTTCACTTAGACTAGCGCTCGGTGTGACTTGCCTTGATCGGGATCCTCCTCATCATGGTTGTATGGTTTGAGCAAACTAACATGGAAAGTCGGATGAGCTTGGATGGTCGAAGGCAACTCTAATCTGTAAGCCATGTTGTCTACTCTCTTCACAACTTTGAACGGACCCTCATATCTTCGCACAAGCCCTTTGTGCACCGTCGGGTTGCGCAAGATTCTAGTCAAATTCGCAAGGACTAGATCACTAACCTGGAAATATAAGTCCCTCCTCTTTTTATTTGTTTTTCCTCTTTTTCTCTTCCTTTGATATCCACTAAAACGGTAAGGGATGAGAATGGTAGTGATGAAAAGTAGGCCGCAAGTGGTTAAGAGATAAGTTTATTGCATCATATGTCCCTAAATATTTTACATTGGGTTTTAAACATCTGAATATTCTAATTTCATCTTTAAACTATGATTTTTTTTCTAAATTATTCCTTGAACTTTTGAACATTCTAATCTCATCCCTAAACTATGACCTCCTTTCTAAATTAGTCCCTAAACTTTTAAATGTTCTAATTTCATCCTCCAAATTCATCCAAATATGTAATTAGTTTCAACCATAATTTAACCTAAATTTTATTTTTTTCCAAACATATCATAATATAACTTGGCCTAATAGTTTTATTACCAAGGGATATGATTAGTATATATGCATAGTTTGGAATGGAATTGGAATGTTCAAAAAGTTTGGGGACCAATTTAGAATGAAGGTCACGATATGGGAATAAAATTGAAATGTTCAAAAGTTTGAGGACTAATTTAGAATGAAAAACATAGTTTAGGAATGAAATTGGAATATTTAAAAGTTTAAAGATTAATTTAAAATGAAGGTTATAGTTTGAGGACATATGAAAGCTACTCAAGTAGAGATAATGGGTTTAAGTGCAATATAGGATGAATTCAAACTTAGAGGATCAAAATAAATTGTTTTGAAATTTTTTTGCTCTGACAACCGTGGAAGATAGCAATCAAAGTTATGATTGACTATGGTTAGCAGTGCCTAAGTTAGTGCATATAATGCAAAAAAATCCAAGTTAACACAGAGCTAGATACTTAAACAAACGGTCCACCGACTAAAATAAGAATGATTCGAAAGTTAAGTGATTAGATTAAAAAAGTTTAAATTTTAATAACTAAATTAAGGGTAAAAAAAAGTTGAGCGATTAAATTCTTAATTTATCCTTTAAACAAAGGAATGCTTTTCAAAATCACTTTTAGGACCAAAATCACTTTTCAGAAAAATTATTTTTTAATAAAATTAAATTTAGGTGGATCAAATTATATTTTGTATAAAGATAAATTAGATCAGGTCAAATTAGGGTGGAGGATAAAAATTATCCAACCTGACATAAGAATAATAATATAATTTATTCATATAAATATATACATCATTACTATAATACCCTTTTCATAGACTTTTTAAATTGAATATTTGTTTTACATCAAGTCAAGTTAAATTAAATCTATATTCTAAAATATCAAGTCGAATCAAAACAGATTCTCATATAAAGTATAAATTTTTTTTTATTCAAATTAAATGATGAATAAATATTTTCAGATAATATCAAATAAAAAATAAGAGTGTTCGAAATCAAGTATTTGCATTTTCAGGTACCCAAAGTATCGGGAACCCAATTTTTTGAGTAATATATTTGTGGGTCTGTGAACCGACCCGTTAAGTCCGGGTACCTGGTAATCAGGCACCCATAAAATTCAGATAACCGTATTTTCAGATAATGGGTACCCAGTTCATCTATTTTTTAATTGTTTTAATTAAATTTTTTTAAATCACATAGAAAATACATAAAAAAATTTAAAGTTCATTATAAACCCATACACAAAAATTAATGATTTAATGTTAGTTTTAAAGATAAATATTTAGATATATATATATATATATATATATATATATTAAAATTTATTTTCAAAAAACATTAAAATTATTAATATCGATCGTGATTTTTTTCAGATCTCATATTAACAAATAAATAAAAACTTTTTATAAAATTTAAAATTACATAATACAAATTTTTAAAAAAATAGATATTTAAATTTAATTTTAAGATAGAAGTATTAATAACTTAAAAAATATAATTTAAACTATATATATATAACTGGGCCGGGTTGGGTACCCAAATATAAAAAAAAATTGGCCCACCCAACCCAACTATCCAAAAAAAAAATGAGTCAAGTACTAGACCTGATCGAGTAATTTTTTTGAAGTAATTGATTTTTTAAAAAATTGAATTAACAGATCGACGGACCGAATCAACCGAGTTAAATATTTTTGAACACCCATAATAGTGAAAAGTACATATTTTCATATCAAATTGATCACAAACCAACCAAACCCACTACCATCTCCACAAATACGGCCCTACACATTCGTCCATTTTCTTAATAATAAAAAGTACATATTTTCATATCAATTTGAAAGCTTCTTATGTGAAGAATAAAAAGTATAGTCCTCCAATTTTACCACATTTACGCATTCATCCATTTTGTTTTGATTGTGTCCATGAATTGTGAACCTGAAAGCCACGACACATTCCACCTTTGAGGTAAAAAAAACAAGTTATTACGCAATGTAGTGTACACTATTGACTCTCAATTTAAAACTAACTTAAAATATTAACAGCTATACTCAATTAGATCATTTTGTCAAACATGTGACAAATACATGCACCAAGCTTGACTTTAAAGAAATACAGATCATATTGGTGTAAAGATCAACTTCACTTGTTCATTTCTTTCTTGAACTTCTCTATCATCAAATTCGTCACTAACTTTATCACAAAATTCGCTTATAGCTTCCTATTAGTTATGCACCAACTTTGAATATCAAATTTACCACTAACCGTGCAATCCAATTCATCACTAAATTTGTGACAAACTTGACACTAGTTTCAACACCAGACTTGCCTCTAGTGACTGCTACATTTTCCTGGAATTTACAAGTTCAGAGTTTAGAAAAGGCATAATACCAAAAATAGACAAGATTTTATCAAAATAGTTATTTTGACCCCTATTCTTTTTGAAACCTTTTAACCCAACGTTTCACTTTGACGCAAAAAGCTCCATCCACATATGAAAATCATTAATTAACACACGATTGG